TTTGAAGCTTTCCAGGGGACCTGAGGGCATCTCTCACCCCCTGGACCGTTCCCATTCCCCACCCTCTGTGTGTCCCCCCCCACCGGGACACCCCGGGACACACGGGGGGTCCTGGGGAGCGTCCGACCCTCCGGCAGCTCCGCACGCCCCCAGCCCATCCTCGCATTAGGATGCGGCGCATGGCCGGCATTTGGATACCAAATGTGCAACCAGCAGGGAATGTAATTGCGGTCCCTGGAAAGGGACAGGCGGAGACGGAGACAGGCACGGAGAGAGAATCCTGTCAGCGACGCCGGCCCGGTGGTGTCTGCTCTCCATTAACCACTCGCCGCAGCCCTGGGCTGGTGAGGAATAGCTAACACGGCTTAACGGGCTGGAAAAGAGGGGTGGGAAGGGCTGGGAGTGATCTCGGCACAAAGGGAGAGCGGAGCGAGGAAAACTCAAAGAGCAGGAATTGCGCAGGATGAGACCGAGCGCCGGCACACCCGAACACCCAGCACCGCTCCGGCACCCCGAGAGGGGCCTCGGCCTGATGGTGACACGGGAACAACCCGAGGGCCAGGGTTAAAATTCACACTCAGATCGCTCCAAAGGGGGAACGGGGCGTGTTTCTTCCAGGGGCTGCTGCAGACCCCGGTGTGATGCCCATGGGAGTGGGGAGGGACACACACAGAGGGATGGGGGAGACCCCAAAGGCCCTAGACGGGTTTGGGACATGGAGGTTCTGGGATCCAGCTCCACTTCAGGGCTGACCCAAACAGCTGACCCAGCATAGAGACATGGATGGGTTCCCCCTGAGCCAAGCCCTCCCACTCGGCCACCCCTCGCCAGCACCAAATTCCCCTGCAAAAATCATCCTGGCATCGTCTGTGCTCCCCCGACGGAGAGGTGGCACATGCAGCCGCCCTCGGCCTGGTCACAGCCCCTCGTGACACATGGGTGGGTGAGCTGGCTCTGGCTTGGGTGGTCAGTGGGTCACGGCCACGGCCACATCTCTCCTGGCCACGGCCGCCACGCTCCGGGCTCTCGGACAAAGCAACCAGGGCTGCGGCTCCGGGAGATGGGAACACAGGAAAAAAGGGGCACAAAATCCGATGGGATGGGGAGCACAATCCAAACCCCCACCCCAAGGCCACTTCACCCCAACCTCACCCCCCTGTGGCCTGGGCCCCTCGCCCCCCAAAGTCCTGCTCTGCCATCACCACTGGCCCTGAGCATCACCTGGCTCTGCAAATCCCTCTGCTAGAAACCATTTCTCCGGTTCCCGATCCCGGGATTGGGGAGTGCAGAGGAGCAGAACAGAAATCCCAGCTGTGCTCACAAACCACACCGAAAAATAATACAGAAATCAGCAAAGAGCTGTTCGGAGGCAGCGCCGTGACCTCGGCGTTAAACCAGGCCACGGGCACGATCCCGCCCGGACACAGGGATCTGTGCCACAAACACAGGCAGGGAACCCCCAGCACTTTGCACATTCCCGCTGTGGATACAGGCACACGGCAGCGATGGCTGCAGGAACACCGACTGGCATTTGGGAATGACGATTCCCTGCCCGTCACCCGGCTGTCGGCAGCGCAGGGGATGGGAACAAATCCCAAACCCTCCATCCTTCCTTGGCCTTCCAGGGGTTTCCAGAACAGGCCCAGGGCCGTGGGTCAGGATCCCAGGACTGGGGACCCTCTGAGGACAGGTCTCTCCTTCCCACAGACCTTTTCCCCCCACAGCGTGGAGGTTTTCCCAGATCCCTGTTTTTTTTGCCGCACGATGTGATGTAGGGCACTGAGACCCATCCTAAACGCGCTGCAGTGCGGGGGGCAGTGGGGGACCCCAACCCGCTGGGCGATGCTGGGTGCTCTGGGACACCCGGCTCGACCCTCTGCGCCTCGTTGGATCCCAAGGCAAATCCAACCCTGCGGGTGAGCGGCTCCTGCACCGCCAGCCGGGAAACACGGAGTGCCGGCGGGAAGAGCCCTGCCTGCTATGCCAGACCCCTGCCTGCTGTGCCGGACCCCTGCCCACCGTGATGGACACCTACCCACGGTGCCAGACCCCTGCCCACAGTGCCGGGTCCGGCCCCACAGTCCCGCCCTGGACACACAGCACCGGCACCAACGACCGGCCCGGCCACGGCCAACGGATCCACACCCCGAGAGTGACCATCGGCAGCCCCCGAATGTGCCACGGAGCAAAAATCCACCGTTCCACACGGCACCGAAACAGCCCGTTATTACACAATTCTGCGTTCGTCCTCCTTCGTTTCTTCCCAGATAACCCAGGAGTTCCAGCCAGCCAAACCTCTTCCCAACGCATCCGTGCAAAATCATTTAAAAATAAAAATAAACCTGTAAATCCACAGCGAGTGGTTAAATCTCTCCCCAGAACAGGGAAATTGCAGCATCCCGAGGTACCACTTATTTTTAATTTAGCCCCAATTATGAAATATAGAATTATTCTAATCTGGGCAAATCATATCGACCATGAGATTTATTCCTGTCTTTTATAAAATATAGATTGCTGTATAAACCTGAGGAAAAATATTTAGCGGCAGAGCAGGTCTGTGGGTTCAAACAGGGCATTTTAACCTTGGGTTTTTTCCCCCCTTTTTTTTTTAATCCCTTTTGATTTCCCCTTTATTAAATGAGGTGGGGGGAGGCTGAAAGAAAGAAAACGAGGGACCAGAAAAATCATAAATATGTTGTTCTTCGTTTTTAAGAATGAGACAGTCTTGTAGTAACTCCAGAGACAAAATAAACCCACCGCTGGGTTCGAAAAAGGGAATAAGCAGGAAACTCAATGGCAATTTCAATCTTTGCAACCCCTAATAAATTGCCTCGAATTCCGAGAGCCGAAGGCACAGGCGGGGAGCGCTGGCGACACGGGGCGCTCCCACATTGGGGGAATTTGGGTCACATCCCGGAGCCCGGCGCTGCGGACGTGCTGCTGAACCCACCAGCCATTGTCTGCTCTTCCCTCCCAGCCCCTCGCGCTTCCTCCGCTCCATTTTACTTCCCCCTCCTCGAAAATATTTTCCCTGCCAATAGCGGATTTAGGAAAAAAAATTATATACATACACATATCTATATATACATGGAATAATGATCCACCACGTATTTCCGAGGATAAATTCTCGGCAGAGCCTGCGAGGGGGCGAAAGGGACGGCGCCGACGCCATCACCGATGCCGGGTCCCGGGACGCCCGTTACCCAACGACCAACGGGCTACCTTTGGCAGTCAGCACCACATGGTAACCCTTGGGTGCCACATCCCAGCCAGAGGAACCTTTGGGTGCCAATTCCCAACTGCAGGAACCTTTGGGTGCCAAATCCCAGCCACGGGGACTCTTGGGTGCCAAATCCCAGCCACCGCCCCAACCACCCTCGTCCCTGGGATGCCGGAGTTTGACCGGGGTGGGGGGGCCTACCACATGTTTGGCATTTGGGAGAACAAAAGAAAAGAGCCCAAAGTGTGGGAGCTGGGGAGCACCAGGAGCAGAAACCAAAAACTTCGCAATGGGCAAAAAAAAAAAAAAAAAAAATAATTCCCTGGCTCTTACAATCCCCCACAAAAATGTGAGGGAGATAATAAAATCCATATGCACCACGGGCGGCCCGTGGCAGAGGCACCGCCGCCACGGCACAAAGGGATGGGCTCGTCCCAATTTCGGGGCGGTGTGAGGGGCACAAGTGGGTCCCCCAAGAGGACGTGTGGAGGTTGGATGGACGCTGGTGCTGGTGAGGGTCCTCGGCCCCGTGTGTGTCCCACCCGCTCCGGGCGCCGAAACACAGCCGGGAACTTCATCAGCTGCACTGGTGTCATCGAGGGAGAGAAGGAGCCACCGAGGGTCCCCTCCTGGAGCTCCCACCACAGCAGGGGATGAGCCAGAGGAGCCACCTTGCCTCGCTGGGAACGAGGACCAGGCCACACTGTGGCCCCTCGTCATGCAGGGACTGAGGGGGACAAAGAACCCCCCGTTTGACCCAGAAAACGGGGTAGCCCAAAGTCGGGGGCCATGGGGGCAGCAGCACCCACAGAGCACCCACAGAGCTCACCCCCCACTGCTGCCAGGGATGCTGCCAGGGCTGGGAGAACTTCGAGGAACTGGGGGGGAAATGGGGGTTCAGTGGCTGTTTTTTAGGTTTTTTTGCCTTCTATAAGTGCCCCCACAAATGAGCCCATTCAGACCCTGTGGGGTGTCCCTGCAGGGTGAGTGGAGGGTCCTGGGGGGTTCCAACCACCTGAGCATTCCCGGAGCGGAATGCCTCCTACTTCCAACTTGCCAGCAGTTTTGGGTTCCTCAATATTATGAACAAAGAAATAAGACAGAAACAAAACTCTCGCCCCCCAAAAAAACGCTGGGGGAGAAAGAACACACAGAAAAATTGAAATTCCAAACTGGAGCAGGGAAACGAAGCCAGCTGCGGAGATTGCACTTCCAGGATGGGAATGACCCGGGAGCAGTGGGGTCGGTCACCCCCAGCCCCGCACCCTCAGCCCCCCGGAGCCCCCCAGGCCGGTATTGCCGTTTCCCTCCAAATCGTCTTTTCCGGCCCCCTCCCGCGGCCGCACCCGCCGCTTTGGGTAGATTTCGGGGTTTTCGCAGAAGCTTCATCCTGGGAGAGGGACGGGGGTGGCGGGGGGAGGAACTTGAACTTCCCCGAAGTTGGGTGCGGAGGGGCCGGGGGGGCCGAGCCGCAGCGCCCGCCGCCCGCTCCCCCCGCAGCCCCAGGCAGGGAACGCGCCCCGTGATGCTCCCGGCGCTGCCGCAGCCCCCGGGGACGATCCGCCCGGGGCCCCGCGGGAACTTTCGGGGGAGGGACCCTCGGGGACCGCCCCCCCCTCCCCGGGGCCGCCCAGCCCGTTCACCGGAGCCCACCGGGGGTCGGAGCGGGACGCGACCCGCCACGGGCGGCGGCGGCCGCTGTCACCGGGTGCGTGCGGGGGGGAAACACCGACTGGAACTCGGGCGCCGCGGCTGCCCCCGCCACCCCCCCCCGCCTCACCTGGGGTTGCTCCGGTTCCAGTAGACGGCGAACCGGTCCGAGATAACTTTCCCGGTCTCGTCGGTCCAGACGCAGACGCCGAGGAGCGCGGCGAGCAGCGCGGCCGCCCCGCAGCGCACCATCGTCCCGGCGGGCGGCGGGCGCGGCTCCGGCCGCTTCACGGGGCGGCGGGGCCCTGGGGCCGGCCGGGGGCGGCGGGCGGGCGGCGGGCGGCGGCGGCAGGCGGGCGCCCAGCCCTCACCATCGCCCGCGGCCCCGGGCGCCGTCAGCGGGGGACTCGGGGGCGGCCGCGGTGCGGCGGCGCCGGGGCAGCCGCATCCCGCGCGCGGGCGGCGGGGACCGACCGGTTCCCGCGGCGCCCCGGGGATCGCCCCGGCACCGGGAACCTTCCCCCGCCCGCCCCCTCGCCGCGCCCAACTTCGGCCAAGTTCCTCCGAAGCCCCGCGGCGCCGCCGCCGCCGCCGCCCGGCACCGAGCCCCCGGTGCCGCCGCCGCCGCACCCGCGGGCTCAGCCCCGGGCCCCGCCGCGGGCTGCTCCGCCCCGGGGACACCGGAGAGACAAAGGCCGGGCCGGGAGGCCGCCGCTCGCTCAGTGCCGCCGCGCCATGCTGCGCCTGCCGCCCGCGCCCCCGCCCGGCGCCGCCCCCGCGCCTGGGACCGCCCCCGCGCCGCGCCCCGCCCCTGGCCCCGCCCCGCCGCGCGCCGGACCCGCCCCCGCCCGCCGCCACTGACACATTGTTGCCACCGCCGGCGCGCGCGCCCCGAGCGGGAACGGGGGGAACGAGGGTGACACTGACCGGGGGTCATACCGGCTGGGGGTCACACCGACCGGGGGTCACACCGACCGGGGGTCACACCGGCAAGGGTGGGAGAGGCGCGGTCATACCTGCGCGGGGTTGGGACTCTGCAAAAGGGGGGGGTCACACTGGCCAAGGGGCGCGTTTGGAAGAGGAGGGGTCACACGGGCTTGGGGAGCAGGAGGGAGGTTTGTGGGTCCTTTGGCTTGAGGCTGACAGGGGGTGTTGGGGCCCACAGCGGGGGGTGGTTGAGTGGGGGGCAGCCAGGGCTCGCAGCGGAGGGGACAAGGGACAGGGATGTGTCCTGCGACCCGCAGCGGCCAAGGCAGATGGACAGACGGGTGGACACCCCGCCCGCAAGAACATGTTTTCACCTCCAATCCAGGGATAAATTAAACTTTCCTTTGTCAAAATCTTGGAAAACGCTGATGGGAGTAACACAGAACTGGTGGCCTGTGGAGCCCTGGAGCTGCTGTGGGGCTTTGTCCAGCTCCAGGGAGGACAGGGAAAATCCAGTGGGATTTTTGGTCACAGGTGTGCCACCCAGCCACAGCTCTGGAACCAGATGCCTGAGCCAGGACAACCCATGGCCCTGCAGTGACATCCCTGAGCCAGGACACCCCTTCAGGCTGTCTGGGGGGGTCCAGTGCTCACTGGACAGGATCCCTTCCTTCCCCAGACCCCCCCAGTTCCCCCAGGTTCCAGAGGCTGCTACAGAAGGACGAGCGATACAGGTGGATTCTGGACCCTCCTCCCATGGACACTGGAATGTCCCCCTGGATGTTCTGGCATGTCTCCCTCGGTGTTAAGGTCTCCCCTGAGCCCTGCTGAGCCAGACCCACCACCCCCCCAGAGCTCCTCAGGTGCCTGCAGATGCAAAGAGGCTTCCAGTCGGATTCACAACAGCACCAAGGTGCCCATTAAGTCCATTGGGAGGAGCAGCTCCAGCACATCCCTCTGCCTGTCCTTCTGCTCAGCATCCAAATATCCCTGTAAATCCGTCTCCATCCGATGTGTTCTTCGGAGTTTGTCTGTGCTAAAAGCGAGGGAGAGGCCCGGTGTAAAACACCTCCAGCGCCGCATGGAGAGGTGGGACATAAATAAAATATGGACCCTCCTCATTATTTATTTAGCAAATCTATTTGGAAAAAACTCCACGGACTGTGGGGCTGCGCATCCCTCCCCCTCCCCAAAGGAAAACAAATAAAAGCCAAATTATCTTGGAATAACGCCGGCGGAGCGTCCTCCTGCACAGCAACTCCATCAAGGTTATCCATCTCCTCATCCCGCTCCCATCAGGATCCGTCTCCATCAAGCCCCCGACAGCCAATCTCCCTCCTGTCAGCGGACGCTGCCATAAACCCGGACACTTGTCTGTCAACTTTATTTGTTTCCATTTCTCCAGCCAAGCCGCTAAAAGCCTTTCCAGGCTCTCCGGGAGGCCCAGCCGTGATCCCTCCCGGCACGGGGACAGCGGGGGCAGCCCCAGGGGCAGCTCTGGGGGCACCCTCAGCCAGTTAAAATCTGGAGCTGCCACCACCCTCAGCAATTCCACCCCTGTTCTGTGGTGGAGGAACAGGAGCGATCCAAAGGCCAGGTGCTGTTGGCAGCTGGTGACGGAGTCATGGATCAGGGTGTCGGGTCCCCAGTGGGCACCCACCAGCCAGTGATTCCCAGGACAGCCCAGCTCAACCCATCGCATCCCAGGGCATCCCAGCTCAGCCCAGTGCACCCGGTCCAGCCCAGTACATCCCAGCTCATCCCAGTTCAACCCCACGCATTCCAGCTCAGCCCATTCAGCACCACCAGAAGTGCAGGAGATCACGGATCAAATTCCCTGGGAAATGGGGTGATCCATTGGGATCAGGCAGGAGCAGCCCCACACCCACTCCAGCATGTTCCTTCCCTCCCTCCCAGGATCAGTCCCAACAAGTCCCTGCCTGGGGGGACCCAGCCTCACTTTGAATGGAACGACTTCTCCTTCCCCAATCCTGGTAACGGGAAGGAAAACCTTTTCCAGGGTTTTTCTGGCTTCTCCACCAGCACCGGGTTGTTTTTCTTACCACACAAAAACAACTATTTGCCTTAATTACTGCAAATCCTGCAATTTCCAACCCCCAGCTCTGCGCAGGGGGCGAGGCTGGATGCAGGGAGGGATAATTCACACCCGCCTTCCTCAGCGTTAATTGGATCGGCCGGGAAATTATGGAAAATACTCGCTACTGACAGGAAAAAAAACCTTCCCACTAAAAAGGTGAGGAGTCACAGGGAAAGGGCCGGGAAGCGCCGGCGCAGAGCAGAGCCAGGCTGGGAACGGAGCTGCAACAGGAAAAAAAGGGGCCCAGGGAGGTCCCTCGGAGCTTCCGAAAGGGACACACGGGATCCGTGTGAGGGGCAGTCCTGGCTGCCAGGGGGATCCAGACACCCGGTACGGTGGCAACAGAGTGGTGCTGATGAGCCAACCGTGGGATCCTTGGCAGAGAGCCAGCGTGGCATTGTGTGGCATCCACGGGCACCAACCCCACGCACTGGAAAAGACCCCCATTCATGGACACCGACACCCTCACAGGCCAGCGAGGGGCCCACCCCTGCCTGGGGGTGCAGCACTGGGGACATCCATCAGCAGGGCCAGACTGTGGCACAGCTCCAGCTCCCTGGCTTTGCCCGCCTGCAGAGGCCACTGGCGCACTCCCCCCTCAGGTTCCCCGAGCTCCCATTTTATTCCAGAAACCAAATAAGCAGCCACAGAGGTGCAAAAGTGCAAAACCCCACAATGATACCCCAAATGTGGCTGCCCCCGGAGCTCCTGTGTGGCCCCCAAGACCCCGGGCACTGGCTCCCCTCCAGCGGGCCGGGGAGAGCCCCAAACCGCGGCTCAGGGTGGGAACCCGGAGCACGGGAACACCCAAACCCCTCCCGCAGCCGCCCCGCACGGACACGCTTTGCCCGGGGCAGCTCTCACCCTCCCCCAGCAGCACCGGGCATGTTCGGCTGCTCGTTAAAACACCCAGCCCCAAAATTCAGCTGCGGATAAACCCTTCCCACGCTGCAGTCGTGCTGGCACGGGCGAGGGCGGCTCCCCTTGGCTCGGTGGCATTCGGCGGCCGCTGTCCCTCGGCCATCGGGGCCGGTGGCACCGCTCGCAGCAGCGTCCGCAAAGCAATTTCCAAACATTAATTTACCCACAGCCCCTTCGCGAAGAGGGCGGGAACGGTGCGGGATGGCACCTGGATACCAACGCAGCCGACACCTGGAAAACCGGCCGGGAACCCCCCGAGGGCCAAAATCCTGCCCAAATCCTGCGGTTTCTCCCCAGAGCCGAGGCGGCGGCGGCGGCAGCGGCGGCACCGCATTGCTTAGGCAATACCCCCCTCTAGTGCCGGTGCCCCTCGCGGCCCCCCGGGGCCGGCACCGCGCACTCGGGTCACAGCCCCGGGCCCTGCTTTGACCGGGGGAATTGGTCACCCGGGAAGCCGTGCAGAGACCCCCACAGGACCCCAGTTCCATCCCAGACCCCCAGAACCCTGCAGCCCCCCAACCCCAGCAGCTCCCAGCCCCAAAAATCCACAGTCCCCAGCCCTGTAACCCTGCAGCCCCCCAGCCCTGGAGCCTCCTGTCTTGCAGGCCTCAGCCCCCTAATCCTGGAGCCCCCCAGTCCCGCAGCCCCCAGCCCCACAGCCCTGCAACTGTGTGGGGACAAGAGCAGCAGCAGCTCAGCCAAACAGCCAGGGGTTTTAGGGGGGCATCTGCAGCCCTTCACCCCTTTGGGTAGCAGGAGACCCCCATCCCTGCCCAGACCTTTCCCAGAACCCCACTAAAGGCGTTACAGGGACACAGGGTGGTGTCACGGCCATCACGTCCCTCTCCCACGGCCACCGACCCCACAATCCCAGCCCCAAGCCCCCGGCCCCGCAGCCCCCGCTTCCATCCGGCTGCGCTCCGGGAGCTTTTGAATATGGAAAGCACGGGGGAAAAGCGTTTTCTGTTCGGCCAAAACCCACCCAAGTGGAATGGGGAGGGGCGGGGGAGGGAGGGCAGCCCGAGGAGTTAATCCACTTTGAATTGCAGCGGCTCCAGCCCGCGCTCCGGGCTGACAGCTTGACAGAGACGGATTGGCAGCTCCCGAGGTGAGACATCCCGGCCGAGCCACGGAGCCGCAGGAAGAGCCAGCTTGGAGGGGGCAAGTTCCACCATGTGGTTTTCCAAGAGAAAAAAAATGGGGGAAAAAAATGAATCAAATAAAGAAAGGTGAGAGGGGAGGGAGAGCGGGGAGCTAGAATAGGCCCCAGCCAGGGAATGGGTCCCAGGAGCCCACCTGTCACAGGGACCCCCTGGGTGACTCCCCAAGCACTCCCAAAC